AAAAAGTTGGGATTTTAAGTACTTTTTACGTAGTTGCTAATTAAAATAGAAGTCTAAAATATTGATGTTCCAATTACAGAAAATTAGATGTCTTGGCGAACTCCGTTTGTTCATTTAGGGGTTGGATGGAGTACTATGCAACTATTGGCTAATTTAGCACCTTAAATACATAAGTAAATGAAGTGAAATTTTGTATAACGCATACTTCTCCACTAACTACAAGCAGATATTGCAGCACCTCAGAGAGCTATAAAACAAGTTATTATGCTGCTTCAAAGCAAAAGGGCAAAATAAAAATTCAGCTTTCAAGCTTTTCGCTGTACCAGCGTAAATATAACACGGGAAATATTATACAGTTTACCTGAATTGTGGAAGAGAGAGAAGGAGGATTGGCCGAGGAGATGGCTGCCGGTGGTTGATTGTTCCGGCAACTAAGAGACCGGCCGCCGGCGAGTGTAAGGCCAGCGCTGTTCAGCAACAAACCAGGGAACTGTGTAGCCATCGGTTGCAGATTATCGCTTCAGATTTACCACTGCACAAGGCATTTGAACTAATACTTTGTAAAGCTTGTTGGTATGCAAAGGATATTTTTTGGGTCTACTTTTAAAATAATAATAATAATATTGCTTGTTAATAAATAACGAATTTATATACTTTAGAAAAAAATAGAAGTATTAGACAAATAATTATCTTTATAACTTTGACTGCAAAGGTGATTTTTTGTAAAATAAAACTAAAATCAACCAAACAGTTTTGGTTCTTACTTAAAACTTAGTTTTGGAAAATTTGAAACAAACGTTTATAGATCCTTCATGTATTCAGAAGCCTCAAATTTGTTTTGCTCTTCCTATTTTCTTTAAAATTCATTGTTCTCATTTGGAAAATCTATTATACAAGGGAAAGAAGCTTAATTATGCAGGACCCAAAATACGTGTGTGTGTATGCTATTCAAATAGAAAAATAATTGTAATTGACATACAGACCTAAACCTTGAGGGAATTTTTTAAAACTCTCATTAATTTACCAGAGATCATTGTCATAGCCATCTAGCAAATAGATGCGGATGGATTATCTAAAGTATGAAAGTTGGATGGATGAGAACCCCCAATAATAATAATACAAACATGTAATCCCACAAAGTAAAGTCTAGAGATAAGTTAAGTGTAAGCACACCTCACCCCTACCTTGAAGGAAGAGACTATTTCTGATAGGTTCTCAACAGTACAGATGAGATCCCAATAATATTGTGGATAAACTACATCATAAAACCCGCAATTTATCTGTAAGAGATTTAGGAGCATGGCTGGCGTCGCAACTGAACTTCATGCGCTACACAAAACGTCACAACAAATCTGGAATTGCTAGCGATGAGAGGTTACACAACTCTTGCAATTAGAGACGAGTTGAATAAAACCCACTTCCTCTACATTTTACATCATATTCTACATTTAATCAAAGAATAAAAATGAACCTAAATCTCTACATCAGAGGTCAGCTTGAATTGGCCTGCTCAGCACCCTAACAAAGTACGCACGTGTCTCAGGTATTAAACGTTGAATCAATTGTGAATACCTACATGTAACAAGACAATAGTGTGTTAAAACACAATTACATATTTGTTTAGGATGTCTGTTTTTCTTCCAAGAAATGATGAAGCAAAAGGATAGGAACCTGGACATACCATGGCATGACACTTAACTTGTCAAACTTCTCCAATCTGAAGACAATGAAAGCATTTCTTAATGACAAATGCATTGAAAGCCTCCGATAACTCAAACATCAGAGAGACATTTTTGTACTGAGATATCCTACAGAAGATAAGAAATTATCAGGAGAAACCTGACATAAATCCTCCCCTAAGACAGAAAGGTCCCCAGCACTCACCTGTGCAATTGCATACTCACACAGATGCTTAAGGCCCTTAAGAAGATATTGATCAGCAGCCCTTAGAAGATCCTGTGCAACATCCATATTAACATCAACAGATCCCGTGTATATGTACCTGCAAACAATAAACATTCCTCTCTTCAATATTGCTAGATTGATTTGTATCCCAGATGTGACAGAGATTAAACAGCAGTGCACCTCATCATCAACTCAAAAACATCCCATGGAATGTTGGGAATCTCTATATCTTTGGCGTCTCTCTCCTGCAATAAATAGATAACAGATCATCAGAGTTTTGTACTCCATATTTGTGCATTCAGCCACATCACACTTGCAACATTTCAAAGAAAGATGTTTGCCATTTAGCAATTTTGCAAAGACCATTTGATAGTCGATCTAAATTTGTCAAAAGGGAAAGGTAAGCAGTAGAAGACAAATTTTGGGAGCAAAAACAGCTTTCCTCTTGTGTTGCTAATGATCAATTTAGAAACCAACAAACCTAAAAGTAAAAGCAATAAATCTTTATGCCAACTATTCTACTTACCCTGTAGCCACCATCAAACATTACTCGAAATGCATCATAAGAAGAAAGTAAGCAATTCTGTGGGCATAAAACCCTTTGCCTGGTGAAGGACCAAAAAATCATTAAGATACACCATGATATGAAGAAGATGACAATATTTGAATCACAAAACTGCTGCTACCTTCAACTAAAAATGTCACATCAGATAGCGTAGAATTATTTACATACTGCTCACCCAAATAGACCTGCATAAAGAAATGCACTAGGAGAAAATAAGGAAAAGAGATGTAATATAGGATCAAATACATTGTCTAATTACTGCACCATGAATGGTCATGAACAACCTCTAAGTCAATTGAGAAAGAAAAGACAGAAAGCGGACATACAAACTAAAAAACATGAAAAGCAGACAACATTATTGATTGGTGAAGAAAGTGAACATCAAGTAAACTGTGGCGAAAACAGCCTATGGAATTTGTCAACATGCGAACCCTCCTCGAACACTCACCAAAGTGAAGACGAGTTACTACCAAAATCTAAATCCTTAAATGTAGGGATAAGCAAAGCCCTCATATTGCCTAATTGATTCTCAGAATACACCAATCATGCCAGCAATTAAGGGTCAGTGAGTGGAGTTTTCAGAACTCAACTGTTTTGTATTACTAAGACCATAAAAGATTGACAAGGTTATAGACCTGAATAAGAGATCAACAGGAAGACCAAGTCTTGGTATACACACCCTCTCAGAACCAAAAAAATATCGCTCAGTGAAGCAAATTTAGCATATCAAGAGAGGGTTCTAAGGTCTTCTACCCCTCATCAGCATAACAGATACCATCCAAGAACAAATAAAAGGTATATCATACTCTAAATAGATGCTTTTCTCATTATAGATGTGGTATAAACAGCAGCATATAACACAAGAAGCTGTCACAACGTGAGAAGCAAACTGAACCACAAGATGGGAAGAAACTGCACGACCAGAGTTTTTATGCAGTAATTCAAATGGTTGGTAAAGTAGACATTGTATAAAATTTGCATAACAGCTACATTATAACTTTCAAGTCTCGACTCTAGAGGTAACACTAGCAAAACTTGGTTTGACATATGTTTATAAAGTAAATGGTAAAAGCTTCATAAATCATCACAATCAATGATTAAATTTGAACATCAGACAGTTCACCGTATATCTTCAAAATGCTTGATGATTATACGAACATAGCTTAGTATTAACTTGATGCAAGAAGCACCAAATGTAACAGTGAAAATTAAATAAAAACCCATAAATGACTAAGGGCCTTACAGGATAGACTTGACGTTCCTGTTGAGAGACAGAATTGGTAGGAAACACTAGTATCCAATCATTTTGGTAACAGCCCTTATTAATGAAATTGTTCATCTTCTTCACAGTGGCAAGTAAGTGCACAAATAGACCAAATGGTACATGCAATATACAGAGAATATTAAAGTACCAATTAACGTGGAATGCATTCAATAACAAAACATAGCTCCTATTGTATAAGCAAGTTCATGTAGTCAATAACAAAAAATAGCTCCTATTGTATAAGCAAGCTCCAGTGTAGTTATTTTGTATTTTTTGTACAGTATCAATATTGTAGTATTTTTCCAACAAGGGAGACAACTTCACATAACGTTAGCCAATTACTAATTTATTTTATACACTGTTCGAATTGTGAAGCATTTGATTTTCTCATACTAGATCCCAGTTGATCGACTAGTTGGACTTACCAAGAGTGTCACCAACCTGGAAAGTTCTACTAGAAGCCCGCATATGGAAGTCAACATTGTCTCCATTCCAACTGCCGGAATCACCAACATTGTACACTGTGCCGCCAATCACGGTTGTGCTGAATAAATAAAAAACAACCATCATCGAGAAGAGAAACACGGCTTCCTTTGTGAAGATCATGACTTGACCTCCAAAACAGAAAAACAATAGGTGTTCTGGAAATTCAAAAGGAGTTACTTAGAACTCAAGGGATGTTGTAGCAGCACTTTTGCATGAACTATCAGTATATAACTGTTCAGCAGACTTCTGCTGCTGAATGCACCATGATGTTTGAGTGAATAAAGAGCCAAGGCTGATCTGGGAGTCCAGTAGCACTCACAATTTGTGCATGAATTGAGCTAATTGTATGAGTAGAATGTGTTGCATGCTCTAAGAAAGCTATGCTAAGTGTAATACTTATTTCAGTGTGACTGGATATAACTTCAATTAAGAAAGAAAAAAATCTGTCTCTCCAAAGAATTTCTTTGGGAAAAATTGTATCTGCATCGTGCTAACTCCAGGCAAAATAACCTTAGTAGCAAAAAAAAAAAACCAGTGTAATACCACAAGTGGGGTCTTGGGAGGAGGGTAGAGTGGTAGAGTGTACGCAGACCTTACCTTTGAGAAGGTAGAGAAGTTGTTTCCGAAAGACCATGGCTGGATAAACAGTGAAAAAGAGACACTAGCAACAAATGTAAACAACAAGAAGATGATAATAAGAAACCTTAGCAGTAAACACTACTAAGGTTATCTAAGTTGTTCTCCAACCTTAGTAGTAAACACTCCAAGATACATTTCAATGAGGTAAATAAAACAAATTTGGTGACCAAGCCAATTATGCTATAAAAATTTCAAAGCAAAATATTACAGGAGTAGAGAAAACCACTCATCAGCATATAACATAGATCTAAGTTCAGTTTGCAAGAGATTAAATCTCTACTTCAACTATTTAAAGAGAATCATCCAACCAATAGAACCTAACATGAGTTATGTAGAACTTCTGAGGGGGGGCAACAGTTGAAACTAGCCAATATCACCACAACTCAATTCCTCGTGTTGATAAAATTCTCTTTATGCTAAAGAAGTAGCTACTTGTGAAGTAGAGAAGCCAAGTTCGACTCGACATCTTCGTTGGCTTTGTGATCAAATGACTCATCGCCAATATATAGGTCTAGGATTGATCTGCATAAGAGTTTGCTTTGTATGCTTCCCACTTCCTTTCCATCAACTACAAAAGAAAAATAAACAGAACCTAAGCTTCATCTAAGTGATTGATGCTAGAGCAAACTTTAAGCAAACAACTAGAAAGAAAAAAGATCAGAAACTAATATATTGTGAATTTAAAGAAAACCAACAAATATTTTAGTTATTCTTCTATGGTCTATGGAACTGACGGGAAATTAACTAGCTCATCAGTTTCTTACCTAAAATGCATGTAAAACAAATCTCAACCAATACTTCGATGCTGTTTAACTTAAGTCTTTTTTTTAATATGGAATGTCTTTAACTTATTTATTAGTCACTGTGACAGGTGTATCAGCCATTGGTAATAAAAATCATCACTAGTATTTTGCGGAAGCATATTTTCAAGAGCTAACAGGCTGATAATAAAAATCATCACTAGTATCTTGGTGAAGAATATTTTCAACAGCTAACATATAACAATATTTTCAACAGCTAACATATAACAATTTTTATTTTATTTTTTTGGTTTTATAGACAGTGAAGCTGGTAAAGACCAGAAAATCTATATCTGTATAAAAGAGAATAGGGATGGTTGATTGGTGTAATACTACACAAGCATAATTTCCAGCATGACTTCTGTAACCAAATTCAGGAAAATGTTTAGCCACTTCCCACAAAGGAAATGTAAGGGTATAAAATGTGCCAACTGACAGTGCAATTAGGATATTTATGGTATTGTTCTTGTATAGCGCTCACTTGAAGTAATTTCTCTTCATTGTAGCCTCTAACATACTGCTTCGAAAGCCAACCTTATTAGGGAAATGACTAAAAGAAATTAATGTTTTATGTATCCATTCAATAGCTCTTCAATAATTTGAGCAAGTGATAGCTATAACATTTTATTTTTTCTCAAAACACACAGACACACATGCACGTCTCGTAGGCGTATACACTGAGAGATTGAGAGTCTTCACTTCAAAAGATTCGTATCAGATCGAAATATCAATATTGTAGAAAAAGTGGAAAAAAGACAGAACTTTGAGCTGTTCATTTCCAAAATACTGTCAACAGAAATAAATCATCTTACTTGTTGTGTGGAGTATGTAGTCATGATCTCTGGAGAGTTCAATGATAGATCCCCGAGGTAATTTAATTTCATCTTTAAACTGGGAAGTGAACCTACAGTTGCAAAAGACATTTTTGGTTATATAAGAACTAGGGAACTTATGAAAATATAATATAGATAGAAGAAATATTTATAATATGTGCATAAATATAATATATATCCAGACGTATAAGTGATTTCATAAAGAGAAATGTTTGGTCAGTAATTATATGACTTCCAACAAAGTCATAAGTTGTTACTTTGGACCAAAAATAATTATAAACTTACGATAATAAAAAATCTGTATAAAATATAAAACAAATAAAATTATGGAGAGAATATAAATAAATAAATAATGCAACATCATTCTTATGATCTTAATTATTAAGAAAAGGAAGAAGAAAATACGAAATTAATGCACAATTTTTCAAACTCTAATGTGATCATTTCAGAAGAGTCTTACAATGTCTTTATTTATAGACATTCAGATTTTTACAATAAAGAATAAAAATGAATGCAGAAATAGTAACTAACACAATTCTTTTTATTATTATTATAATAATAACAATATTCTTGGCCAAAGAGAGGTGTCAATTTTATTCATTCATTGTTGTTATTTTTCCTCTTATTTTTCATCATTATCTAAATAAATATTCATATTTTTAATTTTGCCTCTATCCTTTATTGTAGTATTTGTTTTCTATTTTATTAATTTTTTCTTCTTTTTCTCTTTTCCTTCCTCTATCCACTTTTTTTTGATTTGCACCGGGTGTCCGAGTCTCTTTGAGCCCCGACTAATCCCGGGGGTGCACAGGCCCTCGGCAAGGAGTTTCCCGCAAGTGCACCACGGTTAATTCAGGTTTTACCCAGTCCGATGGCCCTCAGAAATTGTTTGCACCCAGTGGGTTTCGAACTTGAGACCTTGAAAGGGAGCAAACCCCAAGGCTCAAGTCAATTGCCAGTAGGCCAACCCCTGAGGGTTCCTTCCTCTATCCTACTTAATAGTAACTTTTTATAGTAACAAAAACACATCTTCCTTAGGATCTTAATCATAAGAAACATAAATGGTTCTTTGTACTGTAAAAAAATATCATAAAAAAGCCGTATTTCAATATTTGATATATATTCAAATTCTCTAAGCTATCAATAATAGTGTTTGAACCTTGATAATAATTAGCATAAGACAAAGTTACGGTAATTAATTTTCGAATGCTCTTACCTTCCAAACTAAGAAATTACATAGAAAGAACACAATGCACATTCCTTCATTAGGACCTTAATCATAAGAAAATAGATTTTTAAAAAAATATTAATGAATCAATGCACAATTTTTGAGCTCTTGTCAACACTCCCTCTTACTAACTGATCAATATCTAAGTGTCCTCTTTATTGAGTCTACCTTTACTACAATAACAAAACATGGAAAACACGACTTCAAATATGAAATAAAAAGGATAATCTTGAGTAGGAGTTTCATGAAATAAAAATTATGATTTTATATGGACAAAATAGAGGAATTTAAAAAAAAACAAAAATAGTTTTTGTACAATAATATTGTTGAACATTGGTCAGTAGTTAATATTATTACACACAAAGTTACAATAACTAATTTGCATCTAAACAAATAAGAATACAAAATAAGTGCCCACTTTTTTGAGCTCTTGGCCGACACCTTTTTTGTCAAATTAATCAACATTCAAGAGTCTTCTTCATCGTGTCAAGTTAACACATGGATTTGATAATAGAATAATACTACAAAGAACAATGAAATATAAAAATAATCTTGAGTAGTAATTTCATGAAACAAAAAACTTGTGAATTTATATTGACAAAAATGGAGAAATATCATAAAGTATCTTAAATTTTATAATTTAATAGTTGGGGGGTTATGAATATGAAAACTTAAAAGTCATGAAATTAATTATATTATTAAGAATAGAAGTTTAATAGATATAAGTTATGGAGGTGAAACTTTAAAAGTAAATAAAGAAGGAAAAAAATAAATAAAAAAGATAAAAGAAATACCTTTACTAAATAGAGATATAAATTTCTTGAATTGAATAAATAAATAAAAAAGTAAAAAAAGAACAAGGAAAGGAAGAGAAGTGACTTAAGGAAAACAAAATCGTAATTTAATTATTTTTTTTAAAAAAGACTTTATATTTTATAGAAATATAAGTTTCTTGAATTGGATAAATTAAAAAAAGAAGTAAAAAGGAACTAAAAGGGGGAAAAGGTGATTTAAAGAAATGATATAAATATCATTAGGGAAGAAATTAAAATACTAAAAAGAAAAAAATGAGAAATATTAAGGAAAAGAAAATAATAGCATTTAATGATAAAATAGATTAAATAGGACTATTGATAAAGAAAGAATTAAATGTGACTATCTTTAATATTTAGGTGAATTTTTTGTATTTTAAAATTTGAAAAATGGCCAAAAAAACCACAAAAAAAAGATAAATAGCTTTCTAGCCCTTAGAAGCATGCCACATCAGCATGTCTAACATTCTCCTTTATATATATACTAGTAAACTAAACCGCGCTTCGCGCGGTCATAAATAATTTCATTAAAATTTACTTTAATAGTAGTAAATGTATTTTAAAAATATTCTATTAGTAGGTAGATTTTAAAAAAGAAATAATAAATGTAATTTCCAATTTAAAAGAAGTATTGTCTATATCACCTCTTTAAGACCATAATTTTAAAACATATAAAATAAATATTAAATATTTTAAATAAATAACTATAGGAACAAATGGATGTCCAATTGAGCTAGTAATAAATAAAAAATTACAGAAGAAAGACGAAAGTTGAGAATATTGGGCTTTAAAATAAGGTGATAAAAAAGGTGAGGGCAATACAAATAAGGTTATTTGTTGGCTAACACAAGAATATCGTGACTTGTTTAAAAAAAAGTAAAATTTTATTCGTGTCTCGTCGTTAAAATTTGAAATATTGTGACAAATTATTTGGAGTCAAATATTAGATATTTCAAATAAAATATATATCTTATAAAATAAGGATAAAATCTTCATATGCTCTATCTTTTTCATATTTTAGTCGAATGTGAAGTTATTACTATCAAAGAGAAGTGGTCAGTAAAATCTTCATGTAAGCATTAAGTGAAAGTAACAACGTGATGGTATAATCTCTTCTCAATCAAAAGGTATTGAACATCTGACAAAAACAAGCACCATATGATATATAGCAATGTATAAGAGGGGCATGATGTGGAGAAGATGAAGGTCTTTATTGAATTTTGTTGTTATTTATACGTACTAATATGAAGTAGTAAATAGGGGTACATGAATGGTCCTCTACCCTTCCTGCACTACCCTTCATTTTCGAAACGTCACCATTCTAAAGATAGTTAAGAAGAAATTAATGAGATTAATTAAGAATCAAGATTAATGAGAATTATTTTTAAAAATATTTAAGAAAAACATATAAATGATATAATTAAAGAGGTTGAAAAAGATTGTTGGGCAGATTTATTTTGAAAAGAAGCAAATGCAAAAAAGAACAAAAGTTAATTTATTCTTATTGCTAGAGGCTTTCCATTAGTCACAATATGGTGAATAAGTAAATAATAAATTTGTCTATGAATAAAAAAAGTTTTAATTATAAATGTATAAGAGTAGAATTAGAAAGGTGTGATGATGGTAAGTAAATAAGCAATCCCATTCATGTCCATCAAATAATACTAATATTGAATACATATTACATGTCAATCAAATTTAAGTTACTACCAACAATATAATAAAATTCAAGCCAAATTAATATACTCTAAATTAAAAATGTCAAAATTAAGAATAAAGAAAACAAAGAAATTAAAACATAATTTTTTTTGTGATTTTATTTCTTCCTTTAGCTTCCTATCAAGAATTAGTAGCTTACAACACCACTTTAATAAAATAGATCACTTATGTGCGTAATATACAATACACTCGCAGATCATACAAAATTGAATAAGATAATCTACATAGACAACTAACACTCCATCATATACACATATAGAGATAATAAAACCAAAAAAAATATAAATCATAGACTACTATTAGGCCTAAGAGGAAAATTGCAAGACTGAAAAATTGTAGTGACAGATGAATGAAAAAATTGAGGAGATACATTTATACGTACTAATATAATTATTCACTTTAATTGGGAATTAAAATAATTAGCACATGAACATGAAATAATATGGGGGAGGGTAGAGTGTCTTTACCTTACTTTTGGAGGTAGAGATGTTTTCTATAGACTTCTACTCAAGGAAAAATATATCAAGAAAAAAACAGCGAAATGAAAGAAATCATAACAAAATAATATAAAAAGCTTGATAAAATATTCTAGAGTAAAGAAACAATAAAGATAGCAAAATATATAATACAATAATCAAAGTATAAAGAATAATAAATATTATCATAAGATATGTTAAAAAATGTAACTAAGTTAGCCGGTATGAAAAATTCTCAAAAGAATCTGCACACAATATCATATTCTAAAAGAAATAACTAAATGGTGGTTGGGATACATGAAATGAAAAATGAAAAAAAAATGGTAATGAAGACCCAACACCTCAGTTTGTATTTGTAGGAGAACAGTAAATGTGTATTTAATTTTATGGGAATATGAAAAACGTAGGATGTGAAAGTCTGAAAGATCAGTAACCGAATATTTACACATATTCATTGTTCATTTAATTGAATAATAATAATGATTGTGCCTTCAAATTATAAAGGAGAAAATTTGAAAGATAAATAAAAAATACAAAAAAACCACAAAAAAGATAAATAGTTTTCTAGCCCTTAGAGGCATGCCACATAAGCAAGTCTAACATTCTCCTTTATATATATATATATGATATATAGATAGATAGGAAGGAGGCAATAATAGTTTAAGGATTGAGAAACAATAAATTTTCCATTTCCAAAAAAAATCTTGTGGGTTAACCTGTTCGCAGCTCAATAACTCTATTCAAGAAAAGATGTTACGTATGTAGCTGAGAGATAATTGATCACAGTTGGGCAAAAGAGTCCAGCAATAATGTTAAACACTATGATATCGCAAGGCATCATATTTGAAAGGCAACTTGAGTAAGGTTCCAGAATACATATAAAACATAATAATTTAGAGTGCAAACAAATGAAGTGCTTCATCCAGCTTTGGCAGGCTTGTTTCCCTGTGGTGATATGGTAATTATTCCAAAAAAGGTTGAATAAGATATGAATAATATGAGGCTAAGGAATTACCTTTGGAGCAATTCCTTGTTATCATATCCTCCAAACTTATGTAATCTGCTGCCAACAGATTCTTCGAAAGCACTGCGCACAGAATTAATGCTTAGTCTGCCATAGACTATTTGAAGCCTAACAGTCATGCGTATATCGTTTTCCATGAGATGATTTCTCAACTCTTCCTTTTGCTGCAGTTCAGAAACAGAGTGCCGTCCATGCTTCTCAGCCAGACACTTCTTTACATCAACATCATCAGCATACACACCTAGAGAATGCCATATTGATATCACATTAGATAAAGGCCATATTTAAAGTAAACATCACTTTTACTTTGAAATGCAGATTCAAACTTCCAAAAGGAGACAAAGAGTGTTATAATGCATATCCCCCCTGATCATATAAAGGAAGGTCCAATAGAGATGACGATGAGATTCTCAAATATGATACCACCACAGGTTTAATTTTTATGCACTGACCAGGGACGGAGCTAAGTTGTAGAAAGGAGATTCAATTAACTTCCCCTCGTTAAAAAATTTACATTGAACAAATAGAGCAAAAATGAATTCTATATTGGTATTATTTCACTATTGAAACCCCTTGATACTATTGAATCCCCTAGATAGAAGGCAAAATTCTAGTAAAGTGGCAAAGGGGTAACACAATTACTTTAAGACCTATGTTCAAATCTCATGTATGAGAATCCTATTATTTTTTTGAATCCCTTGTATAACTTCCTGGCACCACCACTGGCACTGACGGTGCAAGAAACTGTATTATGTTGCTTCAAAAACTTAATAACATGTACAGTAAGCATGAGTTGATAAGCCTACACAAGCTGTTAACAATTGATAAGCCCACGATCCCACATGAACTGCTATAAATGGTAAAGCATGAATTGAGTTCTGACTGGGAGTGTAGTGTGTACTCAGACCTTATCCCTAGCTTGGAAAGTAGAGAGATTGTTTTCCATATGCCCTTAGATCAAGAAAAAACATAACAAAGCAGCTCGGGAAAAGAATAACAGAAGTGAAGAAGCCACGACAAAATACATCTTGAAAATAAAAAAGGAATAAAATCTGGAGAAAAAAAATGTAATGCTACAATTACTAGTATGGAAGGATAAGTGAGACAACATTTCCTCCATAACTTCCTATTGCCATAGAATTGGAATTCATTTTATATATTTGAGCATTTGGTGCTCCACACAAGGATCATAAAAATTAAGAACCTCAACTACAATATAACAACATTTGCAGAAGAGACAGAAACATAAATCGATAAAGAGCAAAAACAATTAAGTAAATTGCAGTGACAATTTGGTACCATAAGCATAGACATCAATGTTTTTCAATCCAAAAACCGCCTTTTTACGCAGCCCAATTCCAAGGAGTCGCTGAGTATCTTTCAGAATTGACGGAAATGCCATTCCGGCCCTGGATTCAGTGACCGGAGCTGAGTTATCTGCTAGAGAAACAGAACCCCACAAAGGGGATGAATGATTTTTGTTAGGTGAGAAATTGGAAAGTAGGAAATTCATAGCATTTTCCAGAAACGGATTTTTGGGGCTTTGAGTTATGGCAATGATCGCTCCGGCGGCAGCGAGGGCTGAACCGCCGGACGCGAGGGCGACAGCGACGGTGGAGAAGGATCGAGATGGAGCATCTGAAGTGGCTGAAGACGGAGTCTTGTGGGGCTGAGAAAACAAGAATGGAAAACGCAGAGAAGCCATTGTTTATTTTTTATTTACCATGGTTTGAGTGTATTTTATACTAGGAGTACTTTATAGTTTTAACCAAAAAGGATAGAGTAATTCTTTTCTTCCATAGTGTTTTTTCTTCTTCTATTTTCTTTACGCTTTTTTGTTTTCACTTTTAGTGGTGTGGAAGGCAAGAATTTCATCTTCTAGGCTTTTTGATTCATGAATATCATTTGGATGCATATTAAAAATATTCATTTTTTGTAAGTGTTTCATGCCTGCCAATTGTGGAGTTTTATTTGATATAAGAAAGATTTAAATTAAATAAATATTATTAATATGTGTATTATTTGACATGTTCATTTTATGTGAAACTATTTTATTGGTTACTAAATTCGTGAAGAAAAGCAGTGGCGTAGGCACATGTATGCAAGGGTGTCCAATTGGACACCCTTGGTCGGAAAAAAATACCGCATATACAAGTAAAATTATATACGAAGTGATTAAATAACATATTTTGGACACCCTTGACATAATAGGTTGTTATAGCCTAGTGGTTTAAGATGTCTTGAATGTATGTTTCGACATCTTTAATGAGTCAGTGCTCACATGTTCAAATCTCACTTTGAACAATATTTTCCCCTTTTTAAAAAGAACTTTTGTTATTTAATGTTTGGACCCTCTTCCTGAAATTCCTAGCTCCGTCACTAAAGAAAAGAAGATCTTTTGAAATCTATTATCTTAAACATGTCATTATATTTGTGTCATAGTTGCTAAGGCCAAATAAGAGTTTTAAAATTAAACTATCTATGGTTATAGAAAAATTAGTGCTCTTTTTATTAAATCAACTTGGAGAGAGTAAAGGACGTTGATATGTTGAGCTCTATTTTACTATCTAGACAAAGATTTCTACTCTGGCTGGCAAATCAAGATAACTATTGATAAAGGAGAGAATGAACAAATATGTTGTTTGTGTGAATGAGGAGTCCTAGCTGCATCTATTTATTTTTTTTAAAATGTATGTGGATAACAACAATCACAATGGTGAGTTCAGAGAAAGAAGGTGTTATCCATGTTCAATATGGATAAAAAGGAGAAATTGACGACAATCCATAAAGGAACTGGCAACTACAATTTTGGGGAAGACAAGAAACTGAAAACACTTAAAAATTGATTAAATGTAAATACAGAGTTAGTTGTTACACAGATTAACAAAGGAGATTATAGAAAGGATAGAACTAGTAAAAGGCTCTAGGAAATATAGTTATATAATTCAGAAATTTGTAACTAATTGGTTTTTACTGAGTATGAGGTTGGAGATGATTAACACTCTAGTTCTGATTCGGATCCTATGAGTGCTCTGTTAAGTGTAAATATTGATTGTCTAACGTAATCTTTCACAGTTTACCCAAATTTTTTTTTTTACAGAAATCCACTTTTTAGTTTACTTATTATCGTTATCCCCTATAAGTTTTACAAATTTCCAAAATCCCTCATTTTTGTGCATCAGATTAGTGTATCTCGCACATCAGATTAATGTATTAGCGCTTATATTATTGTATCTCGCGCATCAGATTAGTGTATCATGTATAAAATGTATATCAGATTAGTGTATCATGTATAAAATGTAATGTATCTTACTTAACGATTAATGTATCTCGCGCATCAGATTAATGTATCAGCGCTTATATTATTGTATCAGTTTGAGGGATTTCTGTAATTATAAATTTTTAAGGGATAAATTGTAATTTTGCCTTAAAAGTATGTGATTTCTGTAATTTGCCCTTAAAAAAAACGGCCATTAGGCCATTACTCCTTGGACTTGGCCCATTTTCGGTGGAGATTCAGTTCACTTCTCTAATGGTCTGGGCCTGGCAACTGAATAGAGGTCCAATTTCCATACCAAATTTTGGTCGGCTCGTTTAGGGTGTTGAGATTGCAATCACCTATATTTAAGATTAAGAAAAAATCCATTTATGATAGAAGGTTTTTTCAGTCCTTATTATTGGCTCATATGTAGATAGAAAAAGAAAAAAAAAATGATTAAATGAACGTTGAGCCTCGCTAAATTTTTAAACATAACTGATCATAAAATGAGAATTGGTCTAAGGATCATACAAGCCATAAGGAATATCAATTTATATCTCACATGCCAGCAATGAGGTAATTTATCCCCCCGGGTAAATTGCACAAGAAACAAAAAGTGATCATTCACTAAAGAATTGTCCTAAAAAGAACAAGCAACGAAAAAAAAATCTGAATCAAGAATTTAAATGGGTCTCATCATGTAAAGAAATAAAAAATTTAAACCTAACTCAATCTTAAAAGTTGACTCAACTCAGTAATGGTGTATCATATGAATTCCGAAACTATACAGGGAAACCAATTCTACATATCATAATCTATGTGAGACAACTAATTAATGTATGTATTTTATACTCGACTTGATTATGCTGTCTCAAAATAGAACGTGATGGACCAAGTTGTCAAGGACATTTACATCTAGCAAATAGATAGGGATTATCTAAAGTATGAAAGTTGGATGGTGTATTCCCATATCCCACAAAGTAAAGTATAGAGAGAATTGAGTGTAAGCACACCTCACCCCTACTTGAAGGTAGAAACTATTTCTGATAGACCCTCAACTAAGAAAAAACAATATAGATGAGATCCCAATAATATTGTGGATAATTTAAATCTATACATCTTCGTAAAACCGGTAATTTATTTGTAAGCTTGTTGTAGAGATTTAGAAGCATGGCTGGCGTCGCAACTGGACTTCATACGCTACATTAAACGTCACAACAAATATGGAATTGCAAGTGATGAGAAGTTACACATAACTCTTGCAATTAGAGAAGAACGAGTGGAATAAAATCCACTTCCTGTACAATTTACATCATATTCTACATTTAATCAAAGTAAAAATGAACCAAAATCTCTACATCAGAGGTCAGCTTGAATTGGCCTGGTCAGCGCCCTAACAAAGTACGCACGTGTCTCAGGTAATATACGTTGAATCAATTGTGAATACCTACATGTAACAAGATTACAGTGTGTTAATACACAATTACATGTTTGTTTAGCGTGTCTTTTTTTCTTCCAAGAAATGATGAAGCAAAAGGATAGGAATCTGGACATACCATGGCATGACACTTAATTTGTCGAACTTCTCCAATGTGAAGACAATGCAAGCATTTCTTAATGACAATGCATTGAAAGCCTCTGATAACTCAAACATCAGAGAGACATTTTCCACTGAGATATCCTACCGAAGATAAGAAACTATCAGGAGAAACCCGACATAAATCCTCCTCTAAGACAGGAAGGTCCCCAGCACTCACCTGGGCAATTGCATATTCGCACAGACGCTTAAGGCCCTCGAGAAGATATTGATCAGCAGCCCTTAGAAGATCCTGTGCAACATCCATATTAACATCAACAGATCCCGTGTATATGTACCTGCAAACATAAACATTCCTCTCTTCAATATTGCTAGATTGATTTGTATCCCAGATGTGACAGAGATTGAACAGCAGTGCACCTCATCATCAACTCAAAAACATTCCATGGAATGTTGGGAATCTCTATATCTTTGGCGTCTCTCTCCTGCAATAAATAGATAACAGATCATCAGAGTTTTGTACTCCATATTTGTGCATTCAGCCACGTCACATGACACATATGCTTGTAACATTTCAAATGAAGATGTTTGCCTTTTAGCAATTTTGCAAGACTGTCTGATAGTCAATCTAAATTTGTCAAAAGGGTAAGGTAATCAGTTTCGGGAGCAAAAACAGCTTTCCTCTTGTGTTGCTAATGATCAATTTAGAAACCAATAAATCTAAAAGTAAAAGCAATAAATCTTTATGCCAACTATTCTACTTACCCTGTAGCCACCATCAAACATTGCTCGAAATGCATCAGAAGAAGCAAGTAAACAAATTCTGTGGGCATAAAACCGTTTGCCTGGTGAAGGACCACAAAAATCATTAAGATACACCATGATATAGAGAAGATGACAATATTTGAATCACAAAACTGCTGCTACCTTCAACTAAAAATGTCACATCAGATAGCGTAGAATTATTTACGTATTGCTCACCCAAATAGACCTGCAAAAAGAAATGCACAAGGAGAAAATAAGGAAAAGAGATGTAATATAGGATCAAATACAGTGTCTAATTACTGCACCATGAATGGTTATGAACAACCTATAAGTCAATTGAGAAAGAAAAGACAGAAAGCGGACATACAAACTAACAAACATGGAAAGCTCAGACAACATTATTAATTGGTAAAGAAAGTGAACATCAAGTAAACTGTGGCGAAAACAGCCTATGGAATCTGTCAACATGTAAACCCTCCTCAAACGATCACCAAAGTGAAGACGAGTTGCTCCCAAAAGCTAAATCCTCAAAATGAAGGGATAAGAAAAGCCCTCATATTGCCTAATTGATTCTCAGGATACACCAAGCATGCCAGCAATTAAGGGTCAGTGAGTGAAGCTTTCAGAACTCAACTGTTTTGTATTACTAAGACCATAGAACAATTGACAATGATATAGACCTGAATAAGAGATCGACAGGAATACCAAGTCTTGGTATACACACCCTCCCAGAACCAAAAAAATAACGCTCAGTGAAGCAAATTTAGCATATCAAGAGAGGGTTCTAAGGTCTTCTACCCCTCATCAGCATAACAGATGCCAAGAACAAATAAAAGGCATATCATACTCTAAATAGATGTTTTATCATAATAAAGTTGGTATAAACAGCAGCATATAACACAAGAAGGGTCACAATGTGAGAAGCAAACTGAACCACAATATGGGAAGAAACTGTACGACCCGAGTTTTTATGGAGTAATTCAAATGGTTGGTAAAGTAGACATTGTATTAAATTTGCAGGACAGCTACATTATAACTTTCAAGTCTTGAGGTAACACTAGCAAAACTTGATTTGACATATGTTTATAAAGTAAATGGTAAAAGCTTCACAAATTATCACAATCAATGATTAAATTTGAACATCAGACGGTTCAGCGTGCATCTTCGAA